ACTCATACATGAATTTATTATTATAACTGAATTTATTTAATCACCTAAAATTGGCATCTAATATGATTAAGGAATACAATCACTTAAAAATAAATTGACACAAAATTATATTTTTTATAACCTAATAATTCACCTCATCCCATCCTCTTTACCCATTAGTATAAAGAGAAGGTTCCGTATATACTTTGAAGAGAGCTATGCTTCCAACGCTGTTGATACTGTAACTTTGCTATTTTTTGCCCAACAAAACACATATATAGCAAATCTGTAACCAAGTTTCATACCTACAATTAAGAAAGATTTTTCTTTTCTAACATATTATTATTCATTTCGTCGATATAAGAAATGATTTGGACTCAATGCTTGATTAAAAGTTACAAAAAATTTGCGTCATCTCATCCATATTTATTTTTGAAATGATATTTTTACAAATCATTATTAATACAAAAATATTGATCAATAATATATATATTTCTTTCTGTAATACGATGATACATATAAATGCCATGTTTGATCTTGGGGTCATCTCCGCCGTTGAATATAATATTTGAATGGCAATGGGGTCCAAGATTCCAATTAAGCTCCATAATCCAGTGGAGAGTGGATGAGTGAAAACGCAAAATGTGGGCCGGGGAGTTTCCCTTTAGGAAAAGAGAAAAACGGTTGCCAGTCTACACCAACGTAAAGCAATCGTTATGCCGTGGACCAGGGTTGACAGGTGTGGACCCGGTTCTAAATGATGTAATTTTGAATTTTAATTTTGACGGTGATTGTTTGTTGTTCTATTCACATTACATGTTTTTTATATTGTAAAACATGTGTATGTGTCTTGTATTATACGTTTCTGTGTCTCATGTTATGCAATTTTGTACCTTAGCGTATGGATTATGTACTTAAAATAAAGTAAATATAACATGATCTTTTGTGTCTTGTGCTATGCGTTTTTGTGTCTGATCTTGTGTTATATATTTATGGGTCTTATGTTATGCAATTCTGTAGTTTAAGAATATTGATTCTATACCTGAACTAAAGTAAATATAAAACATGTGTATGTGTCTTGTGTTATGTATTTATGTGTCTCGTGTTATGCAATTATGTATCTTAAGCATATTGATTTTGTACATGAAATAGATTAGTAGTTGTGTAACACACAACATATTGTATGTCTTATTTTATGAATTTATGTATTGTATTATGAAATTATGTGCCTATAAGACATATATTATCTACATAAATCATATTTGAAAATAAGTAAATATATAACATGTGTATGTGTCTTGTGTTGTGAGTTTTGTGTCTCATGTTATGAAATTCTGTACCTATAAGAAATTAAAATTTATGTTGAAACATGAAAAACGAAAAAACTACATCTGTCAAAGTTTAAATATTAAAATAACATTATTTCGACTCAAAGTTCACAATGCTGACCATGGTCCAGATATAAATTGCCAATGAGTAAAGTTAGAGGGCCGCCGTTGCCGTATATAAAACAAATAACTTTAATTGATGGCCACGTTGCCCTCATTATTCTCCAAATATGGAAATATTAGAAGGATCTTTTTTTTTTTTTTTTTTCTTTTGGTGAATTGGAAAGTCTAAATGTTGATACAGTCGTCAATTTCTTAGTTTCTAAGGATGCATTTGACGATCCAATGAAATTAAAGTACGTACATTTGCATGGAATTTGCATTTGGTGCAGGATGCATGCAATCATTCATCTCAGCAGAAAAAGAGGTTCACGCTTTAATTTCAACAAAAAAATAACATTATATTCTCGTAAGTATTTTAATCCAACATGACAAATCCCGTAATATGCAAACAAACATTTGTACCTTGTAAATATTGGATATAACAAAAAGTTAATACAAAATACTTTAAAGTTTGTAGAAACGGTAATTCACAAGGCAATTTCTTATATGTGTGTGTTGTGTGCACGCTCGTGTCACAAAGTATTATAATTTTATTGATTAATTAAGGTAAGACAAGTCAAGTTAAAATAGTCAAAGTTCAATTCAAAAAATTTAATCTTGAAATTGATTGAGCTTTAAACTTTGCTCAAACTCAAATTATTTGAGTTTGACTAGATCTATTGAGCTCTAATTTTATATTTTTTTTACACAAAAAATAATAATAATAAGTATATATTATAGACAAATATCATAACAAATTAACATTCAATAATATTACATCTTAATATGATCAATTTATAATAATATATAAATATATTGGCTAACTTTTTAAGATTATACTTTATATTATATATATATATATATATATATATATATATATATATATATATATATATATATATAAACGTGCAATTGGGCTAGCAAGTGGCTCAAACTGAGTATTAAAACACTTAAATTCAACTTGACACTAATTGAATTGAATTCAAATATTTGCTGAATTAAACTCATTTAGATCATGAGTAACTTGACTCAAGTACACCCCTAACCTCAGCATAATATAAATCTTACAACTAACAAAAGAACTTTAGAAACTTCAAGGACTTAAAAGCAATTAAGAGTTCAAAGTCTCTGTTCATAAGTTAACAATCTACCTTATAAACCAGGGACTTTGTGGTCCACTGATACCAAGTTGTTCTCCTATATGGGAGGTGGTGGGTTAAAATTTTGGTAAAGGTAATTATAGTGACATTTGATATAGTAATTTAACTTGTATATGTGGACTAACCATCTAACTAATTATGTTACAATATAATCAAAATATAGATCCCTAACAAGCCATAGTACCTATACTACTAGTGCATGGTGTTGGATGCTCTTAGAGTTTACATTTAGACTCCGTTTGGAAAGTAAGAAAATGATTTCCGAAAAATGAGTCATTTTCTAAAAAATATTTTAATTTTTGATATTTAACTACACAACAGAAAATTGTCTTTATGTGTTTGGTTCATTTTCCAGAAAATGAGTAAGAAAATGATAAAAATTATATACTTTAACATTTTAATTATTTGATATTTTTGATAAAAAAAAAATTCTGTGAATAACACTCATTAAGCCTTGTGGATAATTTTGAATGTCTATATATATATATGTGTGTGTGTAGCATCTAAATATATATATATATATATATATATATATATATATATATAGTATACACAGTGTATACATATAGTATACACAGTATATTTATACACCATATACAGGGACGGAGCCAGAAATTTGGTTGAGGTGGGGGGCAAACAGTACAGACGGATTCAGAAAATTTTTCCAGTAAAGGCGAAACATTAAAACAAAAGAGATAATTTAAAAATAAATAAATAAATTACTTAAGAAATATACTTGTAAATATTGTTGGATATGGACAAAAAATAAAACACATCAAAACTTTATAAAAATATTCATAACAAAATATGAAACTTAATGAATTGTAAAATTATGTTAATGCCAAGATTTGAACCCCCTACACTCACTATTGCCAAATATATGCTCTACCACCTCATCTAACTCACTCTTGTTAACATTTTATAGTTTTTTTATACTAATACTAAAATATGTAATATATATATATATATATATATATATATATATATATATATATATACATACAAAGACTATATATGGGGCATGGGTGGGGTGAGGGAGGGGGGGGGGGGGAGGGGAGGAGTGGGCAGCTACCCCCCTTTGGCTCCGTCCCAGACCATATACCCTGTATATATATACAATATACACAATATGTGTGTGTGTGTGTGTGTGTGTGTATATATATATATATATATATATATATATATATATATAGTGTATCTATATCACAACACACAAAAATTATATACTATACATACCAAGCATGAAGATTGGAAAATGACTTCCTCCAAAAAAAAAAAAGAGAAAGTTATTTTCCTCCAAAACATGCTTATTTTCCATTGACTATGACATCATTTTTCGTTGACCTCATTTTCCTCCCTCTTGCCAAACACTGAAAATCCGGAAAACATTTTTCAGAAGTCATTTTTCCGGGTTTCCAAACGCTCCCTTAATGACTATTTAAGTAGAATATGTTGAATTCATCTTGAGGGAGCTGTTCATGCATATCATGCAATGCTAAATGGAGCGTTATGCTGTGCATCGGTGCATACGGATGCAAAAACGACGTCGTTTTGGCATCTAACTTAAAAAAAATCAGAATTGCATAACTACACATCCATAATTTCATAACTATACATCCAGAATTGCATAACTACACTTCCAGAATTGCATAACTACACTTCCAGAATTGCATAACTACGCATCCAGAATTGCATAACTACACTTCCAGAATTGCATAACTATAATTCCAGAATTGCATAACACACATTCAGAATTGTATAACTACACTTCCAGAATTGCATAAATACACTTTCAAAATTTCATAACTAAAAAATTGAAAATGAATGAACTAAAAATGAATAACATAATGTTGTTACTGAGAATCGAAATTGATTTTTAAAAAAAAAAAAAGACGCGTGTTTTATGCAAAATGACGTCATTTTTGCATCCGTATGCACCATAATTTGCCATGCTAAATGCTCACCGCCTTTGGAATATATTTCGCGGATAATTTCTTATCCAGGTAATAGATCGAGCTTTTAGGACTAAGGACAATTCCTTATCCAATCCAAATCCCAAGTTCCTTAATGGCTACAAGGTTGCGCCCGACAAGGACAAAGGCGGTAGGGTCCGATACTGCTGCACTTTTTAGGAATGGTTAACAAACCACTAATCAACTAAAGTGGTCTACAGTTCTCAAAAAAAAAAAAAAAAAAAAAAACTAAAGTGGTCTACAAAAAAGAAAAAAAAAATTCTTTAATTTTTTTGACAAAAAAAAAAAAATCTTTAATTTGTATATTTAAATATTCACTAGAAAAAGTACATATTTAAAATAATATTAAAAACTATTTTTAGGTTACTGAAAGCCATCATACTATATATAAAGCTTACTATAAATACATAGCACTAGCTGCCTCCGATCCGATCCTCACTCCCTGCCATTCCAAACCCAAAACCAGAAGAACAAGAGAGCTTAGCTCGCTAATGAAATGAAGTCCTGAATTGAAGTTAGTTCTCTTTAAAGTCAGAGAGAGAGAGAGAGAGAGAGAGAGAGAGCGATTGTGAGGCATCAAAGGATAGGATGCAGAAGATGAGGGCCATGTTAGCTTTCATTCAGTTTTGCGTCTTCTTCTTCATAATAGGCTCAAGATTGCCTCTGGGTTTCTCCAAACTCGTCTCTGCAGATTACTTATTCAGGGAACTCTCTTTCTCTGTGATCATAACTCCCCGCTTCGTGTTCGTGTTAGGAAACGCCATCGTCATCATCTTAGTCCTCAAGTCCGGGAATTCATTGGATAAGGATAAGGATAATAATGGATCCGCCAGCAGCGATAACGTCGGTTTCTCCGACCACCACATGATGATGAAAGAACATGGGAGGAGGAATCAGTATGTTTCCGGTCCGGAGAATAAAATCCGTAGGAGCCAGTCGGAGAAGAATATGGCGAGGGTGCATCGCCTGAAAGAGGCGGCTGCAGGCAAGGAGCTGAGGCGGCAGGCCACGTTTACTTGCCGGAAAATAGACGTAGTGGCGGCGACCAACGAGATGAGCAACGAAGAGTTTCGTCGGAGGGTGGAGGCTTTCATTGCTCGCCAACAAAGATCTTTGAGGGAAGAAGAGTTTTCATCACTACTTGCTGTTTCATGTGAATCATAGTACAATATCAATCATATTGTGGTGTTTTTTTCTTTTTTTTCATTTTTGGCTTTCTTCTCTCTCTTCATGGAAAATTCCATGAAGATGCGGAGCAAGGTGTTATCCTCAAAAATAGCAAAATTGTTTAAATTATTAATGAGGAAATAACGCTTTTAATCCTTTAGTCATAGAGTAGATTGAGTTTTTGAATCAATGTTGCAAAGGCATGAAGGCTAGTTGAGTGTCCGGGGCGCCTAGGCGGCCTAGTAATCTAAGTATATCACCTCCACTTTTTGACTCAAGACTAGAATTGTTAGATTATTATAATCTCTAAAACTAATCAATTGCATATGTTAGAGATTAGTTGAGTACATGGCTGGAGAAATATAGAAGAAGAGTACGTAGCCGAGTAGGCAAAAAAAAAAAAATCACTCAGTCAAGTTGAGCGCCAACTTGGCCGAATTAAGCATCGAAGCAGTTGAGTTGATTAGGCGCCCAACTTGGCCGAGTTAGGCGTTCAACTCGCTTGAGTCGGCGCCTAAGGTGCCTAGTTGGCCTGTACTATTAGTCGATCAGCCAACTAAAAGTCGTCTAGAGCTGAAATCACCTCAGCTCGGCCTAAGGGATCCTAGCACCTTGGCCAGTTTTTATAATACTATTTTGAATTATTTAAGGTGTAAATTTAATCTTTAAATTCTCAGTAAAGTAACATATTTAAAGAAATCTTAATTTCAAGGACCGGATTTGTTATCCCAGAGAAATTTAAAATTATTAATGTATTTTGATTTTTTTTGGTTTATTTATTTATTTATTTATTTATTTTTGATAAAATTGTTTATAAAGATGTAGGCCGGGTAAGATATATATTCTGGTTACAAATAGTAAAAATGTTGAAAAAATTTATATTGTAGGGTGTTTCAGAGTACAATTTTCGTGTATATGTATACATGCAGAACATAAGTATAAACTATTGATCCAGCTACAGATCTTAAGATGCTATATGGTACTAAATTCTATGTTCAAACTTTAAAAGACAAGTCACAGCCAAATTAAAGTATCTTTAAACGGTCTTCAAATGAGTATACGCTCAGCTCTTAGATCCATCTTCTTCATTCTAGAAACAAAATGTTGGTTATCACTTACTTTCATAGGAAAAACAAAAAAGTTATTGTTCACTCTTGGTATTGAAATAATATGTATTTTATTTCTTAGCCTGGACTCTTGAATAAGACTGGCATAACATTCTTCTAAAATTAGACTGTCAGTTAGTATGCAAGTTTCTAAATAATAGCTCACCTGATCATTCTCATGCAGGTTTCAGTGGCAGAGCCACATTCAACTTGCAGGGGGCCTTGCCCCCCCCCCCCCTCCCCCCCTCCAACCATTTTTTTTTTATAATTAGTATTGTAGTTTTTTTTTTTTTTTTGGCCCCCCTCACTAAATATTTGTTATTTTGCCCCCCTCCAAGCAAGCTTCTAGGATAACTTTGTGGATTGCTAATTTGCTATCTAGTTTTTTTTTTTTTTTTTTTTTTTTTTTTTTTTTTTTTAATTTGTAAATGAAATACATTGCAGTTGTGTTTATTATAATAATAAATTATCATTTTGCTACCAAAATCTTTAAATTTCTGCTACTTTAATCTTTGTCTTTTTAATTTGCAAATGAAATACATTGCAATCGTGTTTATTATAATAATAAATTGTCATTTTATTACCAAAATCTTTAAATTTCTACTACTTTAACCTTTGTCTTTTTTTAATTTGCAAATGAAATACATTGCAGTTGTGTTTATTATAATAATAAATTGTCATTTTGCTAGCAAAATTTTAAAATTTCTACTACTTTAATCTTTGTCTATTTATTCTTTTTTTTTTTTTCAGTTTTAGTTAATTCAATTGATTTGTAAAAATAAATAAATAAATAAAATTACACAGTGAACATCGAAAGTTTGAGTTGAAATGAAAAAGACACAAATAATTGATCAATTGTGTTTATTATAATAATAAATTGTCATTTTACTACCAAAATCTTTAAATTTCTACTACTTTAATTTTTGTTTTTTGTTTTTAATTTACAAATGAAATACATTGTAATTGTGTTTATTATAATAATAAATTGTCATTTTGCTACCAAAATCTTTAAATTTCTACTACTTTAATCTTTGTCTATTTATTCTTTTTTTTTTTCTCAGTTTTAGTTAATTCAATTGATTTGTCAAAAAAACAAAATAACACTGTGAACATCGGAGGTTCGAGTTGAAATGAAAAAGACACAAAGAATTGATCTTTTAAAAGAAAGAATTCTGAAATTCAACATCTCAAGTAAATTCATTTACAAGTATTGAGCCATTAAATTCTGGAAGACATCTCAAATTTTAGTAGATTTGTAATATAATGATGTATTTTGAAAGATGTTAAATAAATATTAATATGTTTTATTATTCTCTCTTCAAATTGTGATTGGACCCCCGCACCCCAAAATCCTGGCTCCGCCCCTGGCAGGTTGCGTTCTCAAGTATTGCATGCCGATCTCTTAAACGACACTTTGAATCAGTGTCCATTCAATATGTCAATCGATCAGTGAATAAGCTTGCTCACGTATTGGCTAAAACTCATAGTTCTCATACTGATCATCTTAATTGGTTTTCTAATATCCCTTCTTCTATTGAAGATTTAATTGCTTGATTTTAATGAAGTATTTTCCTTTAAAAAAAAAAGTTTAAAGTAGTAATAAAAATGTATATTTATTATTTTAAACTTCACCAATTGGAAAAAAAAAAGATTAAGTGAATGTAATCTCAATTTTGTATCATCATTATACTTAACACATGAAACAGTCTCACACAAGACTTATTACTCTTATGATATTCTGATATAAAAATCATGCTCCATTTACTTGGTCACCCCTTTCAGGGCATGTTCATATATTTTATGGTAATATTTGATTGGCTTCTTTTATATTTGATTTTAAAATAATTAATTTCATTTTTGGTCATTAATTTATAGGTGAAGACAGTTCACTTTTAATCTTTATTTTTAAAAATATCTCCTTTGGTCTTACTATTATTGTGGCATGACAAATTTTTATCATCGATTTAAATAATAGCGTTAAATACAAGGGCATTTTAGTCTATTTAATTTTAAGTGTTAATTTTTATTTTTTTTTGTCCTAGATTTATTGTGTCATTTCATTCTTTGTCATTTTTTTTAGAAAATACTCGTTGGTCCTAACATTATTGTGACATGACAATTTTTCGTCATACGTCAATAAATATATTTAAATAACATTAAAAATGACGTTATTAATCATTCAAAATTTCCCTTTTTCTTCTTGGTAATAGAAGAATACAAAGGTTCAACATTTTCAAAAAACATATACACTAATCATATATTCATTGATAGCATAAATAATCAATAATTCATTCATATCATAATGATGCAAAAACTGTTATATATTCATAAGTCTACTACAAAATTTAAAAAGGTGTAATTGAGAAAACATAAGTCTACTTCATGACAAACCTACAAGTCTACTTCAAAAACATTTTAAATGAGTATTGTTAGGGTGGCTTCTGAAGTAGTGTTGTTGAATTTTTATGAAATAAACTTTTGCACTATACTTGAGGTTTGTCATGAGTAGCTAGACTTGTAATTTTTTCAATTGCATTTTTTTGGAGTTGTAGTAGACTTATGTATTAGTAACTGTTTTTGCTCCATTATGCTATGAATGAATTATGAATTATGAATTATGAATTATTTATGTTATCAATGAATGTATGATCAATGTATATGGTTTTTTGAAGATGTAGAACCTTTGTATTGTTTTATTACCAAGAAGAAAAAAAAGAGAGTTTTGAGTGGTTAATAACGTCATTTTTAATGTTATTTAAACATATTTGTTAATTTAGCTTGGACAAAAAGGTCACGCTACAATAATGCTAGGACCAACGATACATGGATGTTCGAAAAAAAAAAAGTTAAAAGTGGAATGTCACATAGTCTAGGATTAAAAAAGGAAAAGGAATTACAACTTAGAACTGAATAGATGAAATGTCTTTGTATTTAATGTCATTTAAACGGTTTTGTTAACGAATGACAAAAAATGGTTATGCGACAATAATACTAGGACCAAGGGGATAGTTTGAAAGAAAATGACTAAAAGTAGACTGACACCTATAAATCTAATACAAAAAATGGAATTAACTAATTTAGGTTGTTGGTCATCTCACAGGGCGTTTGGTTGAAGGAAATGAATTTAAATTTCCTTCCCACTTAATTCCCACATAATTCCAAAGGCCACAAAATTCCCTTGTTTGGAATTAAAATCCCATGTCTCCCCTGGGATTTTAGGAAGAAAAAAAATATAGTGATGAGTCAAAATTACCCATTCATTTTTTAACCTAAAATTAATGCCTAACAACAACAATGAACAATTTTGACTTTATACTACTTATTCCCTTTCAATTCCCATGTATACCCAACATTGGAATTGAAATTTCCAATAATTCTATTCCTGTAAACGAAACACTGAAATTTAAATTCTCACTTTATTCCTAGTAATTCATCTCCCATGGAATTACAATTCCTTTCCCAAGTAATTTCCCATCTCCAACCAAACGCCCTGTCAGCTGCTGAGCATTAATGGAGGACACACTTTTTTTTTTTAATATTCATTAATTTAAATCATTGATCTAAATTTGATCAATACCTGACATCTAATCCCAGTTTTTAGATCTGCCCCTGAGCCTAGGGGTTGATGTCTTCACGTCATGCACCTTTATATGCATGTATGTATGTATATGTATATGTATATACAAAACAATGTATTTTTTAAGTATAAACTAACTAAACTAGTCATTATTATATATCAAAAATATGTGTAACTTCACAAAGATATTTAGATATTAATAAGAACATTGTCATTATTGCCAGTTGGTTACAAGGTTGCGTTGCAGTAGTACTAGCTGCACTTATATTAGTGGAGCACCACAAAGCAATTGACATTTATTCCTCAACTGTAAAGGATAGGTTTGTTGGAATGTCTTCATCATCATATCATTCCAACGAACACATTGAGATCCAAGTAAAGATGTGCAAATTTTGCCACTTATAAAATCTTTATAAATAAATAGCATTGTTAACGTGACAAAGATTATTTATTTTAGGTTAGTCATTCATTGTAATTCCATCTCAATCAAGCATATCATAACTGATTGTCCAATCCAAGGTAAATTAAAGTTAATCCTATGCTTCATTGACCCGACCTTCATATCCTGTTTGAATACTATCATAAATGGTGTTGAAAAAAACGCTAGGCGCCCGATTTTTTATTATTTTATTATTATTTTTTTTTAAGCTGGGGTTCGGCTGCCTAGACTGCCTAGGCGGCCGGCTGTAGAGGAGGCCAATTTCGGCATTCCTCAACCCTTAATATTGTTAAGACATGAGTAGCATGTGAGATTGTAAATGTACATATATATCAAAGCTTTATACTATTTGCTCTGACAAAGATGGCAAATTAAGACAAAAGAGAACAGGAATATTTTGAACCAAACACTTTCCTTGTACTCATGTGACTTGTGACTTTGCTTCTGCTCCCTTCTACTGTACTACTGTTACAGTTATGGAGAAATGCAGTTATGGTTTGAATAGTTGCATGAAATAAGAAGATAATGGAGGCCCTGAAATGTATCCATCTGGCAATGAAAGAAATAGAATAATAATATGTAAAAACAGGAAATAATATATAAAAGCATTATATTGAGACCGCAGCGCAATTTGGTGAGGGGAATGAATAATGGTAATGGGGATTTAAAGGAGAAATATTCCCCATTTCTCAGAGTCCTTCACGTTCATGTCACCGGTAATAACTTCCCTATTTCCAGCTCTCTCTTTTGTCTTCTTTCATCAAACCTTCATTCCCATGATTCAATTCACGTAATTTTCAATCTATCTTGTTTAATTTATTTCGTTTTCCCATTTTTTGTTTTTGTTTTCTGCGTATGATTTCTTGGATAGATGTTTTTTTGTTGTTTCCCACATGGAGTTTAATTTTTGTGCATTTTAAGGAACTTCCTTCATGTGATTGGCGGCCACCATTGTCGGAAGAATAATTATTAAAAAAAAACAAAAAAAGGAGCTTGTGATTGAAGACATGATTGCAGAAATCATTCAAAAATGTTTTCTCTGTCTGATTATTGATTGTTTTGAAAAGTGCAGGCAATTTCCGAGAGAATTTAAGAATTGAGGGCCACAATATTGATCCAGTGGCATGTCAGGACCTCCATCCAAGCCAAGTAACAATTCTCCTTTCTATTTGGTTTAGATTGTTGATAATATTTACGAGCTCAGAGTTTTAGTTGAGATGGAACACATGTTTCAATTTGGTATCAGAACCAGATATAGTATTGATAGATGGGAGAATTGAATAAGAAGAGATTGATTTGTGTGGTTGCAGATATGGAGAAGATGGAGTTAGAAACTTCGGAGGAGAAACAGACGAGGCTGAGGTCGATCAAGAAGAAGGCCATTAATGCTTCCAACAAGTTCAGGCATTCATTTGTGAAAAAGGGGAGGAGAAACAGCAGAGTGATATCAGTTGTGTTGGAGGACGTACACGATGCCCAGGAAGTCAAGGCAGTTGATGCCTTTCGTCAAGCCCTTATTCTCGAAGAATTGCTCCCTGCAAAACACGACGATTATCATATGATGCTAAGGTTATTATATCCATCCATGTTCTGATCTTTCACATTAGCCTCGATGAATGTTCTTCGTTTTAATGATATCATATGTCCAGGTTTTTGAGGGCTAGGAAATTCGACATTGAGAAAACCAAGCAAATGTGGACTGATATGCTCAAGTGGAGGAAGGATTTTGGTTCTGACACAATAGAAGAGGTATTTCTACTGAAAGTCTAAGCTGATAGTTGGATTGCACATTTATGTTTATATATTACATATATGCTCAACCAAATTGCACACTTTTTTTTTTGGGTATTAGGATTTTGATTTCAAGGAGAAGGACGAAGTGCTTCAATACTATCCTCAAGGGCATCATGGGGTTGACAAGGATGGAAGGCCCGTGTACATCGAGAGGCTCGGCCAAGTCGATGCTGCAAAGATCCTGCAAGTCACAACGATGGAGCGCTATCTCAAATACCATGTCCAGGAGTTCGAGAGGGCCAGCAATGACAAAATGCCAGCTTGTTCTATCGCGGCCAAAAGGCATATTGATCAGAGCACAACTATTCTGGATGTGCAAGGAGTGGTATGTTTAACGTAATTGCAACTTGCCAATTTTCATTCCCAAGTGAAAATCGTCGTTCTAGTTTCATGCCTGCCTATAATGCTTCATTCAGGGATTGAAGAACCTCACCAAGTCAGCAAGGGAACTAATCCAGGCCATTCAGAAGATCGATGGTGACAATTACCCTGAGGTATACATATACATACTTGGCTTTCTTAATGTTTAAGGTTTCTGGATCTCCTATGTTTACTATAATGTTCTGTTTTGGTGTGTAGACGTTGTGCCGTATGTTCATCATCAATGCTGGATCTGGATTTAGGCTTCTGTGGAATACTATCAAGTCATTCCTTGACCCCAAGACCACTGCTAAGATTAATGTAAGCTGATATAATCTGCATTTCCCAGACAAAGTTTGTTTTTTGAGCTCATTTTGTCAGGCGGAGGCCTAAAGGGTCAAGTCCAACACCAGGTGACTAGGGGATTGTTGGGCAGAGACCCTACCCTTACCCTTAAAGGGTCAAGTCCAACACAAGGTGTCAGGTGACTAGGAGATTGTGGGCAGAGACCCTACCCTTAAAGGGTCAAGTCCAACACCAGGTGTCAGGTGACTAGGGGTTTGTTGGGCGGAGACCCTACCCTTAAAGGGTCAAGTCCAACACCAGGTGTCAGGTGTCAGGTGACTAGGGGATTGTTGGGCAGAGACCCTACCCTTAAAGGGCCAAGTCTAGCACTCTGCTTTTTGAAAATAAAGTTGCGAGCTTTTGGCATAGTGATAAGCGCTTGATCCTAACAAGTGGTATCAATGCACAAGTGTTGGGCGGAGGCCTGAAGGGCCAAGTCTAGCACCAGGTCGCTAGGGAATTGTTGGGTAGAAGCCCTTAAAAGGGCCAAGTCCAACACCTTACCTTTCGAAAATGTACCAGAGCACAAGTGATGTTACAAGCTATCGCTTTTGACGTAGTGGTTAGTGGTTGATCTTAACACATTTAATTGAATCTTTCGTTCTTTCTTAAGGTTCTTGGCAACAAGTACCAGAGCAAACTGCTAGAAATCATTGATGCGAGGCAAGTAAAACTACTTGTACCATTCTGTTCCTTTGTGTAACAGTTTAAATTCGAGCAGGTTCCGTAAAACTGTTTGTACGAATTTATTTTGTGTATAATCAGTGAATTGCCAGACTTCTTGGGGGGCACCTGTACTTGTGCAGATATGGGAGGATGTATGAGATCTGATAAGGGCCCATGGAATGACCCGGAAATCATGAAGGTACCATATACATATAGAGTCTCGTTTCGTAACGAAATGGAATTGGTTTGAACTGAAGGATGCGTTGGGTCTCGACTGAAAAAAGTTAAGCTGATAGTGAGACTACACATTTACGTTTTTTTATATATTATACGCTCAACAGTTTGGACTTTCAGATGGTTCGCAATGGCGAGCACATGTGCTCACACAAGGTGCTCGTTCAAGCTGACGAGAAAACAATCTCGGAGGAAGAGGGAAGTGCGAATTCGAAGAAAACTGTTTCGTTCCAGTTGGAGAATTCCAACAAGCTTTCCACGGTTCGGGAGGAAGTAAGTTAGTTGCTTCTATATTGCTGTGTTGAAGCCACAGGAACTGGAAATGATCGTATTTCGATCTTTTTTTGTGGAGTATATAGTTTACTTGTTTAACTGGTTTGTGTGAAATTGGGAAGCAGATGAGCCAGCCTAATAAGGCACAGGGCAAGGCTCTTGATGCAGATTGGCCTAAGGCAAAAGATTGCAACTTTGATGGTGCAGAAGGTATATAAAAAGTATTAATTTTGCTTAAAGTGGTGTCAAGAATTGTTGGAATGAATTACTTTTTTGTTTTTTGGGCACCATTAGGGTGTTACCCTGCCCATTATCCTAGCAGGGTGGAAGAAAGAACAAGCACGAATTTTTTCTCGGGAATGATGGCCTTGGTGATGAGCATCGTCACCATGGTTCGAATGACGCGAAACCTGCCAAGGCAGCTGATGACAGACGCCGCCATGTCCATGTACTCCCCGGGCCCGGGTGCTTATCAGCTGCCGGAGCCTGGCATCTCTGCGTCGGAGTATATGAGCATGATGAAGCGGCTGAGTGAGCTGGAGGAGAAGGTGGTTGTTCTCAGCAAGAAGATGCCCTCCCTCCCACCCGAGAAGGAGGAAATGCTGAACAATGCAATGAGCCGCGTTGATTGCTTGGAGCAAGAGCTTTCTGCTACCCGAAAGGTACGGTCTACGTTCTTGTTCATTGGTGGCGCGACGATTATTAGTGATTAACCTGTCGTTTTTTTTCACGTTTGAAGGCTCTGGAGGATGCTCTTGACCATCAAAAAGAGCTTTTGGCGTACGTCGAGAAGAAGAAGAAGAAGAAAAGGAAGTTCTTTGGTTGCAGGCTCTAGAGGGATATATATGATGCTCTTAACCAGAAGAAAAGGAAGTTCTTTGCATTCTGAAATATATGAATCCTCCAGGGAAACTGAAACACATCTAGTAGACATTATAAGTATATAGGAAGCAGATGACTCCATGCTCTCTCTCTCTCTCTCTCTCTCTCTCTCTCAGCCCCAGCAAGGCAGCAACAATTGATCAACTTTGTCGATTTTGTAACCAACAACCTTAATAACGCTGGGCTGTTCCTCGAACACTGTTGTTGTATCATGTATGTAGCTTTGGTTTGAACCAGTTTTGGTTTCACATGGACCAAATATGCTGTTTATATATATATATGATATGAGATTCGTCTTCTGTGTGCAAATGACATTTTGTATAAATAACATACATATATATACAGTAATTAGTTTTATTTTGATTTTCCATGTTGAAACAAAACTCCCCTAAACGACAAGAACATGAAACTCAGAATCCAATCAGTTGAGACTTGCGATTTAATTGCATTCATTTTAAGAACCCAACAAAAATGTCTTCAGTACAATTTCCTTTTCCCTTGTTTTGTTTTGCACTAGTATTTTGATTCTTACATAAACGAAAGGTACACACTATTGACAGAAAAATCCTCGGCATCCAGGATTGGTTCACGGAACATTTACGTGTGATAAAACGATGAATCTCAATCGAGCTGAGCTAGCGTGATGGAATCTCAGCACCCGAGCAGGATCTTACATGCAGAACTTCTTTTTCTGCACAAGGAAAACAAATATGTCAACACACAAAAATTTAAGCAATATGTATAGACAATTCAAGAACAATCTCGTGTCCATGATATGCATATCTACATCTGTGCACCCTCGACGAGGAAATAAATTAATAAAGAAAGTTATAGGGGAATGATCAAACATACGCGAAACCTGGCTTCTTCTTGTCGGTCAATGTATGCAAGAAGTTCCTCTTGCCTCATCAAAGCTTCATGTAGAGCCTGCTCAAAACAAAACAAAACAAAAAAAGATAGGATCTTATTACTTCAAATATAAGATTGATTGGTTGACAGCAAATATTTCAATTATCACAATTGAATTGAGATGAGATGCCATGCTCACTAACTGTTTACCTTCTTGGTTGCAATTAACTCAGCTTCCAGGGCATCCACTCGGCAAACAGCAGCATTTAACAATTCCTCTTTTTCGTAAGGCATCTCCGATGGCTTTTCTTGAAGTGTGTTGACTCTCTCTTCAAGTTCACCCAACCTCTTCAGTACAGTGGAGAGTAGTTCAGGTTCTGTAAAGGTTGGTGTTGGTGAAGGGGGGCGAAACTCTTCATTTGGAATCGTGTCAGAAGCATCAGCTCGGTGTGGCACAGAGCGAAGTTTTTTGGTTGTGCGAAAGGCAAATGAATGCAAAAGCATGAAGACAGTTGTGAAGAACGCCAATAGAGCACCTAATATCCGAGCAGAAAGCCCTTCTGGACTCTTTGGAGAACCCGGTGGTGGAAGCATCCCTGAGCCTGAGTTAGGGAAAATTACCAAAAACCATTACAAAAATATAAAATAACAGTATAACATAAACCAAGAACCACGCCAAGCACCTTGTGCTCATATGGCACATCTGTGGCTCCCCTTGAGGGAAGGTCACAGGATCGAACCCCGGTGTAGGGTATTGACTCTTTGAGCTGCAGTAGTTAGAGAAAGTATAGAACAGATACTACCCTCTAATAGAGTCAATAGTATTCAAAAAAATAAACCAAAACCACAAAATGCTCAACACAGGAAGGATGTATTTAGAATACACGTTTGAAGATGAAATAACTAGATTATATGTGAAAATTTCACTCGTTTTATTGAGCTTGTTGAGTTGCCAAGAAAGATAAGTAAGCAGTATGTTGTATATTCAAACCTTTAGGAGTGCCGGGCTTTTGAAAAGGTTCTTGCTTCTTCCATCCAGAATCAACAGCCTTGTCAACCATGGGAACATATTCATCATATGCGGAAAAATTGTTAGGATAGCTTGTTGCCCCAATGATCTTTGCCTGTTTCTTAACATAAGTACAATAACAAGACATAGAGGAATCATCAGATGAGGCAAAGTAAGAAACATACATTCTACTCGGTCAAAGGACAAAATAGAATAATACCTCTTCACGAACAGGAGTTAGGCGAAGATGTGAATAACTCCTTGTAGCTTTTGGTGAAGCAATGTCTTCAGCCTCGGACCCCGATTCAGCAGTAGATGTGTCACTGAATTTTACCTGGTCGGAAATGGGAAACACATGGTAAATCTGACTGAAATCTGATATATGACGCACCATAAATACAGTAAGAGAATAGGTGCCATACCATTGGGTAGCGAGGTTTGGCATAAACTACCTTTCCTTCACTGTTTAAAACTTTAACAACCTGTTTGCAACGACGTGCTTCACCAACCATCTGATCATATAAGAAGCAATGTTATGTTCTCATGACCATAAAAATATAAATGGGGAATGAAGAAAGCTTTCAACACAATTGTGAAACCTTCAGTATCTGTGGATTCTTCCATGGCCCTTTATCAGATCGAAGGCACCCTCCCTGATCTGCACACGTGCAGTTTCCACCCAGAAAATCTGGCAGCTCACTGTGAAACAGTTTGGCATATTAACACTATCTTTAAGGAGAATCCAAGAACTGCCTCATGAAAGCAAGAAGCAAAAACAATTAAAGCTACATTTGAAGTAGAAAAGAACTGATCAGATTTACCTAGCATCTATTAATTCAAGCAGCTTGTTCTGGTACTTGTTACCAAGAACCTGAAAAGGGAGAAAAGATAACATGCATTATATATTGTAAATATAAAACCAAATTAATATAGAACTTTTCCAGTGTCGAACAGCGACACTGAAGAATATTGATCAACATACATGAATCTTTGAAGTAGTCTTGGGATCCAGAAAGCTCTTTACAGTATTCCATAGCATCCTAAATCCAGGACCAGCATTGATAATAAACATTTGATGGAGTGTCTGCCAAGGACAAAAACAAAATCATTATGATACCCAAAATTATCAGAGCCTGATATTACTAGCCAATTAAGGAATAGGGACATACTTCAGGATAATTGTCCCCATCAATCTTCTGAAGACGCATGATGAGCTCTCTTGCGCTCTTAGTAAAGTTTTTCAACCCCTGTAAAATTAACAAGAAAGAATGTAAAAATTTATAACAAAAGGGGAGGGGAGCAAAAAATAGAAATATAATGCAACCTACCACTCCTTGAACATCCAAAATTGTTGTGCTTGAATCAATGTGCCTCTTTGCAGCAATTGTGCAAGCAGGAAACTTTATGGCAAAGCACTTCTCAAACTCTCTTACATGATATCTTACATAGCGGTCCATCGTTGTGACTTGCATGAGCTTGTTAGGATCAACTTTCCCTAATCTTTCAATGTATATCGGCCTTCCCTCCTTATCAAGACCATGGTATCCATGAGGGTAATAGTTCAAAACTTCATTCAGCTCTTGGAAGTCAAACTCCTGATGAATATCAGTAAAATAATATTCAGACTGAAACTAAGAGTTGATGGAAAAGCTACTAGTGCGGACTCAAAAAACACACAGGGATAACTACCTGTATGATTCTATCAGCACCGAAGTCCTTCCTCCACTGAATCATATCAGCCCACATGCTTTTTGCTTTCTCAATGTCAAATTTCCTTGCTTTCAAAAACCTGCAGAAACAAATCAAAATTAGAGAATCACCTCACTGTAGACTGATTGTTGATTCCAAAAAAACGTATGTGTACATCTCTGCTCTCCCTTTGCATTGTGTCCTACATTTATAGCCCAGGTCCCAAGTAGCATATCTGCTACTTCAGAATTAATACCACTTTGGTCCTTCAAATATATTGACATTTCCCAAGGTCATCCACTTTTGGTCTCTTGACTTTTCCAAATCAACAAAAATCAATCCAACAAGTCTGAAATCCCCTCACTTTCACTAAAATTTATCCTTCTTCAAATTGATAGTTGAGGACTAAAAGTGGAATTAATTCTACTACTCCGTATTCATACAAGTTTTGTTACTTTTGGCAAACTGTAATAGATAAACAAGAGCTATTATATGAAGCTGGAATTTATATATATATATATATATATATATATATATATATATATATATATATATATATATATATATATATCAAAGAACAAAACTGTATGCATTTACATAAGTTAGTTAAAGGGTAATGGCATATCACCTCAACATCATGTAATAATCATCATGTTGCTCTGGCAGCAATTCATCCAAAATTAGTGTTTGCCTAAATGAATCAACTGCCTGTAGTTCCTCAGCATCTCGAATGTCTTCAATTGAGACAGAGCTGACTCGCCCATCACTCTTTCTTCTGCTGCTTTTTTTCTTGAGAGAGTGCTTGAATTTTGTTGATGCATTCAGTGCTTTCTTTTTCAAAGAACCAATTCTTGTCTTCCTCTCATCCTCTGAGTTCTCAAAATCAGATTTTCTTTCTCTTCTCTCATCACTGCCAGAAGAGCCCTCAAAACCTATCACAAGTAGTAAATGTTATATTTTACCTCTCCAATATTTATTTACAAAAACATTTTTGAAGTCCAGTATATTTTCACATCAGCACAGAACCCTAGAGGTAAAAATAAGCATTAATCTTCCATATAGGCACAGCTTATGCATAAATGTCCATGAACTGAAGTAGAAATCAAAGAATATGAGCCATTTCTTTAAACACATGGAATTAATTCTTACTCTGACTCTGTTCATTTTGTAAATACAATGCTTTCTACTAGTAACCCATTAACCTTCACCCCACCCCCATTCTTATGGGGTAAGCTATAGTAATAAATGAGCTCGGCATTTACAAATCATAATCGGTCATGGTCAGCAAAAGTGAAAAAAATAAGAAAAATAAATAGCTAGGTCCTATGATTCCCCAGCAGCTATGGAGCATGATTCCCGAGAAAAACAATGATTTATCACTGATAGATCCACAATTCCAGAAGAAATCCATCCACATTCAAGAAAGAACGCCTCAAAATCGAAACTTTCAACACCCCACACCCCGACGCGCTGAAACTACTCGTTCCGAGCTCAAACAACCCTAATTTCAGCACAGCAAAATTTTCTCCGGCAAATACACCGTACTACCAAGAATGCAACACAAAATTGGCAACAAAAAAAGGAAAAAAAAATTGAAGCAAAGTGAACTCACAAGGCCTTGCAAACCGATCTAGAGGTCCAGACATGGCAGCCGCGGATCACGAAAAACGGAGAAGAAAAAATCTGAATTTAAGGAGTCCAGTCCAAAGAGCATCACAATTCCACAAAGCC